TATGTCAGGTCGACACAAAGTGACACGTGGTCGTGAGGTGGAAGCAAAATACGATGTGGCTAATTATTTTTAATTTTATTCGGCAGCAACGCACATATTTTCAGTCTCCCTGCGTCATTGCTTTTGTAATGGAAAAATTTATAATTTGTGCCTCAACCCTCTTCTGGTATTTCTACATAGTCTTATCATGAGATTGGTCAAGCTGCTCTCAAAGATTTGTGGATTATCATATGACAGCAGAAGAGAGCTCCTTGATCCTGGAGACTATCTAGTGTTACTTTCCCAATGTGGAACTTATCTGCCCTTTTCAGCATGAAAGAACAACCCCCTATCCTCAACAATAGACAAATGGCAAGACCGTCTGTGTTGGGCTCCACAGAATCCCTGGTACATCACAATGTACATGATTCACACCTCTAGTCCAATCAAGTCTCTCTTCTCTGACCAGAACCTACAAAATGACTCCTTTGACTCTGTATTTTTGTTCTCACCTTGCAAGGTTTTAATACATTTCTTACTTTCTTCTCATCCATGCTCTTAATTTTTTCCACAGCCCTTTGTAGAACAATGTTGCAATTTTTCTTTTCAGTACGTCTCCTACGGCTTTGCTCCATCTGTTCACCGACATTTTTTGTTTCTCTTTCCCAAACAGCTCAAGCTTATCTAACAAAGATTTTAATAATATTAATGTTATAGCAAACCACCATACAGGCCTGGAATGAGTATAGAGGGTCTAAGATGCAGAACTTCCTTGGATAAATTGCTTTGTCAGTATTGAAACTACTTAATGCATAGGTACCAGATGCTTTCTTCCTTGATGTAAAGTTAACTCACGGAATATTTCAACATTTTATGACTTCTAGGGGGAAAAAATTAATAATCCTGTGTGAAAGAGTGGGAAAATACCAAACACCAAAACACAAATATGAAAAAAAAGTGTTTATTTCTGAAATGCTGAACACGCACAATGTGGTCATGGTTGGAGTAACAAATCCGAGTTGGTTCACCGAACATCTGGAAAGTGGTTGCTATCGCCTCAAAGTCCCAACAATGAAAACCCGTCAATACAACAATAACTGGAAAAATACGTAGAAAAACACTCTGATGATGAAGTGAAACAAGAGTTCTGATCCTCTTCATACCAAGAGTGTATATTGAACTGTTAAGATACACAGACTATTACAGTAGGCCAGTTGGGACTATTGCTAAAAAGCGTTTTTATGTTGAGCGCATTAGCTCTTAAATAAATAAGGTGCCCATGAGAATTTTGTCATTTTAATGTTCCCATCGAAGCAAAACCCGCTCGGCTGACAATTAATTTCACGCTTTAATATATTTACTTGTCTTCCTGAGTGACCTTGTTTACATATTTTGGTCTTTACAAAAAAAAAAACAAAAAAAAACAGTAGTTGACC